GGCTCATATTATCCCAGTTTCTCTTCGAGCGATTATGCAGTGTCGCCATATTTTTATAAATAGCGTCCTAAGTGATAAATATTTCGTAACTTTGAGTCTAGAACCGATTGAATAACATTTTGATAAATGTAACTGTTAAGTTTTAAATTCAAATATTGATTATTAATCAAGTTATTGTAAATGGAATATCATCATACCACCTTTACTTCTATAATATAAAGACAAAATCTTTGGATCGGAAATATGCATCTATAGAAAATTACGAAGTACTGTGTCGAAAGTAGAAGACAAATGTAATATACTGTGGCAAACCTATGAAAAATATAATATGGGTAGTTTGATAAGTCAATGACTGTTTTTTACTAACATTCGATTTATTTTTCAACACACAGCCTCCTTTTAAAAACTCACTGACTTCTCAAACTACTCACGTATACATCAATTTGTCGCTCCTTAGATCTAGTAAAGTAAATTCTAAAGGTGCCTGCTCTTTTCTATTACAAAAATCATCAAGGTATCTTCAGAACTTGCTTTATTTGATTTAGAGAGTGACGAATCATTGTTTACGTCGTTCGCGAATATACATGGAATGAGAGTAGGAATCGAATTTAGAACTCACTGACTACCATTTTTACGAAGAATCACTTCTATTTGTCTCTTCTATTCTAAAACCACTTTTTTTGGAAAATATACGCATGGTCCATTTTCGTCCATTCCATAAAAAGATCTCATTTCAAAACGACACTACCGTATTATCGTTTCGAAATAAAATTTAATGGAAAAATGATAAATAAATAAGAGTGTTGTGTGTCCTGAAAGTATTGCATCGTTACTTGGGTAGAAAGGTAGTATAGCGAGATCTATCTCTCCCAGAGGAGCGTACGATCAGCGATTTGTATGGGAAATGATCTTGTTTGTGCGCCGAAGAAAAGCCGATTGATTCGTAATTGGACGTCATAAATAACCTGATCGCAAAGTGAGCCGATCGCATTTTCTTGCAACACAATTCATTTAGATCATTTATATTCATGAAACGAAGCAACAATAACGGGAATATTATACATCAAAAAGATATAGCAAATTCGATATTATTATGTATACAAAATAATAATTTACGATCTCGTATTGTGCGCGAGAGGTATATAATCATATCCGAGATATAAACTCGTTACAGACATTTCCAATATTTGTTTTAATGACACGTTCAAAAGGACGGTAATGCAAATGAAAATTAATAATGTTTATATATCTATTTGTCGCCATGAACGCAACGAAGGAAAAAGTTTTAAAAGCCCATGGTACCTACACTGAAAGAAAAAATTAGCTGTTGCAGCAAATTAGATGGTAAAATATGGCATATCATTTTTAATTGGTTGCAACAGCCAATTTTTGGATGCTGCAGCCAATTGTTGGTTATGTTAGCCTATCCGCAATGTCAGCATAAGATTTCGATTGGTTAACGCAACCAAAAATTGATTGCTACAGCCAATTAAAAATGCTATGCCATATTTAACCATCTAATTTGGTGCAGTAACTAATCTTTTTTTTCAGTGTATAATCCCCGAAATGTAATGGGTCGTCGCATCTTGGTATGATGACAACATTAAACATCTTACAGCGCATTAAAAATTATTGACATTATTAATTTAATGTCGTAAGAGTGACCGAAAGTGGTCACGGCTGTATATACGATCGATAATGCTTATCGTGGTTTCCATGGATACATCAGTCAGAAAACCGAACTATTCGACGCTTCTCGCAATAGCATATGTAATCGTCCCGCTTGTAATAATTGATGATAACATCAAAATTATACAAAGATAAAAAAAAAGGCCAGCTCGTTGCTAAGAGTAGATTTGGACCGCACAAGCAAGCGCGAACAAACACGAATGAACAACTGACTTAAATTAGGACGAATAGCGCTGCCTTATCGAAGCGAATTGTTTGATCACATTTGTTCGCGTTCGTTTGCTTTTTCTGCAGTTTAAGAAAAGGGCAATTCGAGATTCGTTCGGGAGTCGTCCCACGTAAAGATCCTCCAATAAGAGTCTGGATACCAATAAGAGCTGCAATTTTGTATACAGAGTAGTACTTTTAAAAAAAATTTGCGAGAGAGAATTGGACATACATTTACTATTTTTTTTCTTTCTCATTCTGTTCCAACTTTTTCTTATCTACTTATTTCTCTCTCTCTCTCTCTCTCTCTCTCTCTCTCTCTCTGTCTCTCTCAGAAATTGTTAAAACATGGCTGATCAATCAAAAGTGGCTTTCTCGTATCCAGACTTTTATTGATTGGTATTCATAGTCGATTCTTATATTTAAGTACAGTCTTAAGATGTCGTAAGCTAATTAGAGGGTTGCCTTAGCATCTAAAAAAAAAAACGGAATGAGTATCGTTGTTTAGTATTTTGTTTTAGTTTATTTTGTAGGGTTTTTTTACAAGTTTTTCCCTGCCAACCACATTTTAGAACTAAACCAGGCTCTTATTAGGTCCCGCACATAAACCGTAGTTCCGCGTACAAAATATCAGTAACTGACCACGTACACACTATTTGCGTATTTATTATTAGGATATTATCGAGAATAAATCCTATCAGAATACGGGAAAAGTTGTATCGCCGTGCAATTTCCACGATATTTCAGTATAACGACTGTTTCGCGAATCCTTAAAAATTTTTCGGCGGATATATAAAATCGCGCGCGATTGAAGTTGAATTTTGATTTAATCAAAGCGAACCGGTTCACTCGTTTTCCGACACAATAGTTTCGTCGCAAAGTTCATTATTATCGGTTAATTTTGCAAACGGGATTCCATCGCGGACATTAACGCGACCACTTAATGGGAGCTAACGATTTGCACTTCAAAGGCATTTCTCGTTTGTCGTAATTCCCGGAAATTATCGATGTTGTGTTGGGCACGTATTAAGCGAGATCGTCTGACATCAAGGCAACGTTGCGAGCTAATTAGTTTATATTAGAGGTCGACCGGAATAGATCCGATCTCAATGAAGTCGAGACGCACTACTCGCTAATAACTCGCGTTTAAAGAATCTGCGTTGATACGAGCAAACAAATGCCTTCAAATTCTCCACAATTTGAATAAATAAAAACGCTATGTTTAATTGACGTCGTGTAGAATATCAAATAGCAGGGATAAAGTAGTTTGCAAAACATTTAAAAGCCTTCGTACACGCGTTTAAATACGTGACCTTTCATTCGGATTTTTCCCCTATTCGCGGAGAAACGAGCGTCGATAACACTTTGAAATGGAAATTACATTTGTGTGCGGTGTGAATATTTTCTCTCTCGGTCGTTGAAATTCGTTTAAAGGGTCTCCCTTTTCGGCAGCTGCGATTCGTTCTCGTAAATTGACAATTTAATGCGCTGTAATCCTTAATTTCTCCGTGAAATGACTCGAGTATTTTATATAATTTTAAAGAGCGTGTAAATTACTTTTGTAAAAATCGCTCTCAAAAGATTATAATTACTTTTAAGAAGAGTGGAAGAACAAAATACTCTTTGAGTACTCTTTGAGTACTTTTGTTCTTCCACTCTTCTTCGGTTCCTAAGGAAATATTAATCGATAAATTTCACCGAAGTTTCTGACAGCGGCGACTGAACTTCCTTTCATAATTCCTTTTATCTTGCTTTGATGTTCGTCAAGCTTCGATTCAACTGGTAACTCGTGAGACTTGAAAAATCCGAACTTAACGCCGCCAGCTTATAGAACTGAAGACATTTTCAAGAATGGAGTAGAGATGGCCGAAGAGTAGAGTTCCCGTGCAAAAAAGTGGGTCGAGTACATCAACACGAGACATACGATGCGATGAGACCTATAGGGTAATTCCGGTATATACGCTGCACCTATCAAAAACTTAATTTATTAAGTATTATTTACTATGTTTATAGCAAACGAACTATATCAATAAAAACTTTGTACTGTCTACTACTATGAAAAAAATATTTAAAATCCGAAATATTTATTTTTCATATTAAAAAATATATTTTTTGAAACCCTTGCATTTTTTTTGCCGTATATCCCATAGGTGTAGGATATATGGCTACTCATAGGGAGGGGAGGGGGGTATGTACGGCTCATGAAAAATTTACAAATAATGCATATAAATAAGACGTATAATGACACAATAACTTGTAAAATGTGTTTATAAAGTTTTATTAAGAAATAAGAATGATAAATATGTATATGAAGTAATAAATAATAATTACAATCGTCCTACATATATTACAAGTGTTATGACATAAGGTACATATTTCATATAATGTGTTTATTGCATTTAGTGTACTGAATTCAATCTGCGTACTTTGTATGCTTTGGGTATAAATCCCGGTTGCTAAAAATGCCGTATATCCCAAACAGGTGGGATATACAAGACAATAAACTAAACAAAGAAAGCAAAGCACTTGTATTTTGCTACACAACATACTTTACTATTCCACTACACGTATGTATCACGAAATAACCACTAAGTCTTTTACACGCCCTACATTAATCATTTTATGTAGATTATAATTTATGATGACGTTACTTATTACACAAATCGATTCAATAATTTCATTAATATTAACAGTAAGAAGCTGAAATTATAATACAATACTTATATAACATAAAGGCATGTAACAGAGTAGTTGCGGGAAAGTTACTGCTACTCGACTTCTATTTTTTCTGACTTCTGCGGCGTATTTGCCGGTTACCCTATATCCTAATATTTTATATATCCTAATATTTTGAATATAATTGTGCTATGCAAACGGTGAGTAAAACTCGTGGTAAAAGTTATAAGCTATGATTGTTACAAACCGTAATGGGATTTAGAATATCTGGAACTGGCGACGATTAATTGTAGAACGAGATCCTTGAAATACTCTGGCCGGTACAATTACGGACTGTGGACGATCGAGCCAAGTATCTTGAGCATTATCGGATATACCGTGATCATACCAGTAGTTTCCGCACTCGGAATAATCGGAAACTCCCTGATCCTTGTGGTCCATTTGAAAGCGAAGACATACTTGAAAGGGTCAGCATACACGTATTTAGCAGGTCGGTGGAAACGTCGGAAATCAGCTATGAATTAACGTGGAATTCACCCGCATCTGCCATCCAGATTTGTTATTGTTATACGCTCGGGGAGAGAATCCTCTGTAATCACCCTTAATGACATACTGATCGCAAGCGAGGATTTTGGATAAATGGAATAGTTTACTTAATTGTTCGATTTAAATGTTCGACTTAAAAATATCTTAAGTAATATTAATTATATCAATGTTATAATTGCAGTAAGAATTTCTATATGATTTTTATACAGTGCTCACGACTTCGAATCTCATCACTTGCGTCCCGCTCGTTTTCTCCGGTCTGGTCAGAGGCATTTTTCGTTGTTACGAAAAGGCTGATTGAAATTCGACGCGTTCGTTCACTTTCCGATCGGCTCTATCATCACAGTGTGGCCCACGTTAGGCGTGAGCGACAATTAATAATAGTCTGCGGGTAAAAATTTTCTGTAGAAATCATAATAATTGCTCTGTTAGTCCCGTAGGTAAAGAAAAATTAAAAAATTGTAATGATATCACTGAAAAAAGTGATCTTGCAGTTACAGCGAAAATTATCTAAGTACGAAATATGGCTAAAATAGATAAATTTCTAGTAAGTACTGCGATATTGGATATATATGGCATCTAATCATATAGATGACAAAGATAGAATTTAGATTTGTGTTATAAATTTTATGCGTACGATACATAATTTTCTATCAGATACAAAAACTAGCTATAATTCTAGCTGAAGCAGCAAAATATTTTTTTGCGTGATGTGCAAATCAATTAAGTAGGTATAAGAAAAAACCAATATAGTATTGGGACTAAATCTTAGTTTCTATATATTTTTACAATATTTTTTATTTATTTTATAGTACTTTTATGTAAATTCTAAATCATCTTTCTGTTATACTTTATTATTTACATAAATTCTAAAACTGTTATATTGATTAACTTTATTATTGAGTTGTATGCATTTTTTATTAGCAAAAATGCTATGTTTTGAAGAGCTAAAATAATTTAACGAGATTCAATTCTCACAGCATGCCGCGATGGAAATCACCTAGATTCTTCAGGCGGGAGATAACGCGCAACCTGATGATCTTCGTTACCTTCTTCGCCATTTTGATCAACATATGTACTGCTTCATGTACAAGTACAACGAGCGTGGGGAGCTGGTAACGACCAACTTCTTTCACTCGCGGTAAGAAACGGCGATAACGATGATGACGATGATCACGAAAAATATACTGATGCATATATTCAATTCCCCAATTCCCATCCCAAAGTATTTTCAGCCACCCCTTCAGCAACCTTTCGCAGAGGTCGCATTAATATCTCTTATCCCCCGTATTTCCAGAACAACGATATTTCATCAATTATGCTTTTACGAATTTAATTTTGTTTGAAAACCTGAATAAAATAATATCGAAATGATTTTTGCAGGTGGTTCAATCTTCAAACTTGGCTTCAATCCATAATATTTGGTCTGATAGCCGCATATTTGCTTATCGCAAATCTCATTATGATATATTTGGTGAGGAGGGCTCCTCAAGCAGAGCGAGATGTTGAAATTAAAGTAAAAACATATGCAAAGGAAATCGTTTGCGGGTAATTACGTTAATGCAAGAATCGACGGAGATGTTTATCGTACAAGTTTGCGTGACAAGGCTGCGAACTAAAAAGGCTGCGAACCGTGTTTTGTAAATTACTTCCGACCTGAAAACACGCCTTTAGAGTTACAGGTTAGAGTGTTAGACAGGAGTTTTTCGATTGTGGACTATAGAAATAGTATAATCAGTTTTGAACTTTCGCGCTAGCTGCGCCACTTCATTCTATGCTACTCCAGAAGCTGAATGGGGCGGTTGTTGTACTCCACCACTTTAGAGCGTCTCGGAACACGATTTGCATGAAACTCATCCGAGAACCGAGTGGTATCCGGAAACAGAGTCATTATTGTCTCGCGTAATTGGAAAAGTTTCCCTCAAAAACCGACGCTGTCTTTGTGAGCGCAATTATTAAAACTTTGTTGTCGCTTTTGCTGCAGCGTAGATCGCTTTCATAGCTTCAAATAGCGTCATCCGATTGATATTGATTCACCTATCAATAGTAAATAGCTTGCATCTTTCTTTTCTTTTCTAATTATCGATATTAATTATTGATTTAATATTTTCCTATATTAGAATCAGTAATTGTAGAGTTGTTCAGTATCACATAAAATTACGTTTCTAAAAATACAAATATCTGAAAGATATCTCAAAGACGTCTCGCTTTGCTTTGTTTTATCGCATTGATTTGCCATCTATTAGGATCAAGGCTGATGATTATGCTGGTCGGCATCGTATTTCTGTTTCTTGTGGGCGAACTGCCAACTCATTTGGCGTCGCGACGCAGCGCCGTGTCTCTGCTTTAAGGCAGTGATTCCTTCAGATTTCGGGAGGATTTATAGAAAGGTGAGGGACGAAACGTGCATCGCATCGCGACGCTACCATTATTAAAGCAGTTTCAAAAGAATACGTGCATTGTGCGCAGAATGTTTTTCTCGTGTGACGCTGTTAAAAGAAAAACACCATCAAAAATATAATTTTTGTTATCAAAAGTAAAGAAACAAAAATGTGATATGCGACGTCGAGTTGGTTAACTTTGAAGGTATTTTGAATTTAAACCGAAATGACGACGGGATTATAAAGGATAGTCGTTTCCTTCAAAGTGTATAAATAATTAAACTTTAGTGCATAAATAAATGCAGAAATAATTAAACTTTGTGTATGCAATTAAACCCACACAAATTAGAATCCATGTGACGTGCCAAGCGTTCATATGTATCCGATAATTTATTCATTTTGTTGTATATTTCTGCATGTAGGCGACTCTTCTCAACGTGCTAGCGAGCTCGACGAACTTCATACTTTATTGTGTGCTGAGTCCACACTTTTTCGAGTATTTAAAACGCATATTAGTTCCGGAACGTACTGTGAAAAGGAGACATGATAGGAGAGAACCGCTTACTTCCATCAACAACCAGGCAGCAAAGTGAAATGCGAAATATTTGTATTATAGCATTTCGATAACAATAATTAGTGATCTAATTTATCTACAGATCTCTTCATTGAAAACATAATAGATACAATAATCACGCAAAGTGAGCCACAAGAGCCAATTGTTTCTTATAGTAATAAATAATCGTAAGTAGGTATAACTCTACACTGCATATATTTATTTTCTATTTCTATAAAGAAGATATAAGTATAAGGAATAAATATAGAGAAAAAAAAATTAAAGATTAGAGATAGAGATTAAAAGTAACGCACAACAAATGCAAATAAAATATAAGACATATGTCACATTTTATTTATATCCATTGTGAGTTACGTCTAATCTCTAGTCCTAATTTTTTTATTCCTTTAATAGATATGTGCTATTTTTTCCTATTCCTAATATTTCTTTCATTATGTGCAGGGTTATAATATAAAAAAATGTTTAACAAACTTTCAAATATCAGTTCGATTAAAGTAGACTTAAAATCTGACATGTTCAATGTAATACATATTATCAAGGTTCGTTGTTTTACGTTGGTGAAGGACCGGTTGATACCCGACGAAAGTACGCTTGTCATCCGATTCCTGACGGTTTCGCAGCTTTCGTAGTTGAATTTTCTCTTTAGCGGGAATCGATAGAAACACTTCTGACGCCGGCGGCAATTTCATACGTGATTGTTCCTGCCATTTGAGCATTTTTTTCTGTCTTCTAAAGAGCTGTCTGGCCAAGAGATAACCCAGCTCGATTACGCTCAACACGGAACCACCGAGACAGAGACCGAAGATACCGCCGAAGGATGCTGTAATAATTCGCGCGATTTCGTTAGAATCTACCGAGTAAAATTAATTCAAGCGAGATAAAAGACCAACGAATTCTCTGTCACCGGCTAATCGAAATATTGGGATCTAACCTACCGAGGAGTGAATCCCAGCTGATGGTACTTTCCTTGCGATACTCGACGTACGACACATCGCCAAAAAATACGTACACAAAAGACGTATTCTTCATATTGAAACCGTGCCTAAAAATATAATAAAAGATATAAAAATATAGTACAAAAATATATAATTTCTTCACGACCCAATAAGAAGTGTATTATTAAAAGTTCATGAAAATAATATAGATAATCTCATATTGCGAGGAAAAACCTAACGTTTTTTTCATTAAAGATAACCAGTAGACTCACATTAGATCAGAATCAAATCCCATGCCCTCCATTTTAACATGTTCAGGATTGATGGTATATAACATATCTGTGCACTGGGGCAGACACTTTTTGCAAGTTCCCGCGTGATGTGGTATCATTTCTAAATTAAAAAAAACACTGCGTACTATATATATAATCTGCTAGTTCTATATGATATATCTAATTATAATATATGTATAATAAATATGTTTGAAACCGTTTTCTTACTTCGGATGCTCAAAAGACAATTTATGTCAGATAAGTAACATGTCTTCGTCCCCTTACCTATCAACACATTGAAGTCCATAACGTTACGTAGGTATCATGTTAATTATAAGGTGTTATTATATGGTATCAATTGCATTCCATCTGCAATCTAGATTTTTTTTTGTTTAACCCAAGTTTTATTCTTTGTTCTTTACACTTTCAAGAAATGTTGAAAAATTCGGAGTTACTTTTCATCAGCCTTAAATATCTCTATCACAGATGCCACAAGCAACAAGATATTTTAGGAAGAAGAATCTTTATTTCAGAAAAATTTTAAAGTGATATTTCACTTATACCAAAAAAAATCCAGATTACAGACGAAGGTTTATTTAATATTTATATATCATTGTATTAACGCATTTCCAAAAATTTATAAAATTTATAAAATTGATAAAAGTGAGATTGAAAAATATAGTACTTATATGTTGTTCCAAAGGACAAATTTACTTTATTAGATAATTTTGTATCTTTTTTATGGATACTCACGCGCCTCCGGATAGTAAAATGGCAGGCAGCCGCACGTATGATGTGTGTATTTGGCTATACAATCCGATATGCACGATTGATGGCTGTAGCGAATCTCGCCCGGCACCTGTATTCATTACAATTACGTGAAATATGGAAGGCGAGAGTTTACAGTGGTTATCGCATTAAATAAATCGATCTAAGCCGAGGGGCACATAATTTCACCTCGTTATCGAAGTAGCACAAACGTTTCTCCAAAGGGATGGCCCTCAAGCTTTCCATGCCTCTGATAGACGTCCCGGTAATGGGTGTCGCCAAGACATGGCCGACAGGCACGGTTGTAATGCGTGCACCAATGTCGGGAAAATCAATTGGGCCGTGTATTATGACGGAAGCTCCTATGAAAGGGCGCGAAGTAGCTTTGTACATGTCGGGCTCGATATTTAAGGCAACCGCGAGTCCTACATCGCGGCCACTTCCAGGCGCTTTCTGTAAAAGAAAAGTTTATCACGTGCAACAACGTAGTCGAAATTAGACTATAACAGAATCTGACCACAAGCAAGTTTATCAAAGTCCTGTGAGAGAGAAAGATATATATATATATATATATATATATATCTTTTCATATATATATCTCACCTTATAGGGGAGACCGGTTGTCACAGTTTTATTAGTGATTTTTAGAAAAAAGTGGATGCCTGATTTTGAAATATTATGTACGTTATAATATATCTGTATCCTTTAGATATTAAAAAAAAATATTACTCGTGAATTTATCAGATCGCAAAAATAAGTTGTTTAATTTTAAATAAAGCTGCGAAAACGTGACAATTAATCCCGTATTCTAGATTGATTGTCACATGTTCTGGGATTGGCAATAACATATTTGCTATGGACAACACATATAAAAAATACAATTTTTATTTTAATATCATTTCTATATTTTGAGAAATAATAGTAATTATGATATTAATATTTAAATAAAATAGTTATTTGAATCATAAAATATATAATTTGTTTTTGTATCGTAGTTTCTGTATGAAAAATGAAAAAACATATATATCTGTATGAAATATAATATATTTGGAAGTATATTCTCTAAAAATGTGTCCTCTAAAGATATTAAAATTAATTTTCATCTAACCTCGTCTCATTTTGGTCAATCTACCCCACATAGCCATGTTTAATAAAAGAAATTGAGTGCTTTCCATTTGATGACACAAGTCGACACAAGTGTCGTTCTATCTTTGTCACTTTTTGAATATCAACAAGAATAGAACGACATTTGTGTCGACTTGTACTCACAAACTTTGTCAAAATAATGATTAATTAATTGTAGCACAGTGCTCCGTTGAAATACAAAATATGAAAATACACTCGACTAAAAATACTGTATTTTAAATAAAAGTATTTTAAATATGTGCTCAACTATGCTCGTGGCTAGATTATGTTATAAGGTTTCTAGTCGAAATCAATGCGAGGATATCGAGCATTACCACTATTGTGTGCACACCCGGTAAATCATCTTCAGAAGTGTTATTGAAGTCGGTGGAATTAAAGGCCTTGACTTTGGACCTGCAGGATAACGACAAAAGCATAAAATACACGTCTAAATGTCGGATGAGTCTGTATCAGATTAGTGTCGAAGGTTTATCGATTTTTCTATCAAGCTTCTGTGTATGCTTCTATTTTTGTATCAGATAAAACCAAAGAATCAAATTATTACTATTAACGGATTCTCAAAGTTTCAAAACATTTCAAAGTGTACAAGGCAAATGAAAGTTATTAGGAGCAATATTTGAAATAATAATAATAATTTTCGGATAACGTATAATAAAATTAACACTATGTTAATTTTATTATAGTTATCTAAATATATATTATTATTTCTAATATTGCGCCTAATTAACTACGCGCGATTGTCATTTACTTACATACTTTGAATCATCAAAGAACCACAATTTTTTGGATTAAAGATTAAAGCAAAGACCTTTCTTCCAGATGAAGCAGATGCTGAAACTTTATTTGCAACTTTATTCGACGAATATGACGAACCTTTTGAACCAACTTAGCATTCCATAAATCGAAGCAACATTGCAAACATTGCACCAATGTTGCTTTTGTATGTATTATACAATGTATATATAAGATAATATAGTATCAAAGAAACGATGTATTTCCGAGAATTTTCTCGCGATAATTACATGTGTCCAACGTTTAGCTCATAATGGGAATTGAAAGCGCAACAGAAACCCTCACTGGACTTGACGGTCTTGAAGATCTTGCTGCAATCGTGAACCTTGCCGATCCAAATACATCTTAGTAGCAACGCGCTGCAAGGCTGCATCAACTGCGAGAGACATTATTAATTCTTAACTCAAATCTTTTTTCGTCATCTGAACGGAATCTATGATTAATCTGTATCTCCTTGGAAATACAAATTAATCATTAGAATAATCATTTTTCACCTGCTTCATGAGCGCTTCGACCGTCATGTCGAGTCTATTGAGAACCTGTCTCGCGGTCGCACTATCTATAGAGATCTTGTTGGGTCGTATTAATTTCGTTAAGGATGAAAAAAATTTATCGCTGTCATTCGTGGTGAACCCATCCATGTATCTGTTGAATCGTGTAAAATCGGGGTATAATATCGGACATGGAGATTCAAATCCATCGATCCAAAATTAATTAAACTAATTTTCACACATAAATCGTCACATTAGGTACGAAAAATTTGTCATATCAAATCGCTTTTAGTGAAGAAAATCGAAAGAGAGATTAGCAAAATTGAAACAAAATTGCTGAATTTAGAATAAATTTTTTTCAACCAAACAAAAATTTTTAATTCCACTTTTTCTTCAAGAATTTCGATTTTTTTAAATTTTGTACGTATGTCAAACACACATTTGCGATATCCTATCATGACAAAAAACTTTATTTTTCTAATTTTATTTATTAATACAATGGTTCATGAAAAACGACGAATCCTTCGCATCTCAAATAAATATATTAAAATAAATATCTCATTAATCGCTTACAAATTCTTGGCAATAAGGTCGACGTGTGGACGGTAGACCTTATTATTATTACATATGGTGACTGCTGGGAAAGACATGTCCCATATCGGATTTGACGTGTAAATAGTCGTCACTATAGGATTGTTCGAGTAATTGGCCCACAAGCGTAACATCAATATAGCGCAGAACACGATGGACAACATACAAACCTGTCGAATATGGGAGTAAATTACGTTTCCTGGACAATATTACTGAGTCTACTTTTGAGCTTTCTAAATTATTATAAGGTCCTCACCAGGAACCAGAGGATACTCTCGATTATCGACGATCCGTCCATACTTATGTAACGAAAACCGTGCAAATTCGTATTGTCACAATAGATATTAAACCAGCCCAGATGTTTTTTCCCGTATGCCAGACATTTGCGATATCCTATCACGACATGTAAGATATTAATTTGTTTCCGAAGATATATAAATAATTACTAAATCCGTACTGGATATTAAAAAGTATCAATATGTATTAATAAATTAAAATAATATTAGTGTCTTACCATGCTTTACATTGTCGAATTTGGATTTCTTATTCCAATTGGGCTTCATGTTTTTTGAAACTATCATATTAATGCTTATATTATAACTGCCACTAGCCAAGGGAACTACCGAATGACTAAACGTATTGCCGAAAGCGTACTGTAATTTCTTTGGCCAGCGGCTACCCATCGTTTCCGACTCGGTCGCTGTATATCATTTAATTTTCTATCAATATCCCTAAGTAAATTCGACGAAATGATATTAAAGTCCCAGTAATGTTCACCTAAACGTCAAATCTATTTTGATTATCTGCTTGCGAAGATCGCGAATTTTAGGTCGAATATTCCATTATGAAACTCAATAATTTAAGATTTATTACATTTGATTAGTTTTCTGATAAGTAATTGAAAAGAATTGCTTTTAAAATACAACAAATTCATCGTACAGTCAAAATATAGGTATCTCTACAAGTATAAAGCATTTTATGTACTATCGTTTCTAATTATTCGGCTAATTTTTTTGCTAAATAATTGAAACATCACTCTTTTTAAAAACGTGACATATTTCATACGTTTAGATCTAGACATATTTATACCTACAAGTCTAAAAAAGTATTTTATATCTTTATTGCAATTTGGCAAGTAACTTTTATTTATAAAGAACTTTTATAGTTTTTCAGATTTCTTCATTTAGAAAAATTATTATTATTATTATTATTATTATTAATATTCACCATGCTGGTATTAAATCATAATAATAATAGGTAATGTCAAAAGCAATAGCAGGATGGACTTAATTCAACCGATTTGACTTGATAAAAATAATAGTGTTTCTCTTTGTATTAATTTTTATTTGACAAATAAAATTAATAATTAGTGATTCTATTTATCTATAGATCTTCAGTGAAAACCCAATAGATATAATAATCACACAAAATAAGCCGCAAGAGTTTACTGTTTCTTATAATAATAAATAATAGTACGCGCGGGCGCGTATATAGTTATTCTACGTAATAATTAATAATCATAAAAATTATACACTGCAAAGAGGTAATAGCTAACAAATGTATTTTATTAAATTTATTAGTGCAATCTATAGTAAATGTCATTAAATATAAATAAGTAACTGTTTGGTAACACATGATAATTAGAAAAGTAAAGTAATATTTAAAAAATAAATTAGCATTTAGTTAATTTTAGCTATATAATCAGACATTTGATTAAAATTACTTCGTCAAAGCTTTAGTAACTATCATCTAAGTTTAATTTATTATTATCGGACTTTTTTTCAGTGTATACACCGCATATTTTCTATTTTTTAAGTTCTGTACAATGGAAGAAATATTACAAAGTAAAAAAAAAAAAAATTAGAATTAGAAATTAAACATAATGCACAATAGATATATATATAAATAAAATATAACATATGATATGTTTTATATTTATTTGTATATATGTTATCATATAATACGTCTTATATTTTATTCGTATCTGTTGGGCGTTGCATTTAATTTCTATTCCTAATAATTTATATTTCTCTGTATTTATACTTGTTCCTAATATTTCTTCCATTTCTTTATATGCAAGGCTTCAATCACAAAAAATTTTTTAAGAACTTGTTAAAAATCAAATAATCATTTCGATTAAAATAGACTATGACTTAAAATTTGACATGTTTCATGTGATTCATGTTGTCGAGACTTGTTATTTTACGTTGGTGAACGATTGGTTGACACCACGTGACGAGAGCACGCTTGTCAACCGATTCCTGGTGGTTTCGCGGCTTTCGTAGTTGAACTTTCTCTTTAGCGGGAATCGATAGAAACACTTCTGACGCCGGCGGCAATTTCGTACGTGTTTGTTCCTGCCATTTGCGAGTCTGTCTTCTAAAGAGCTGTCTGCCCAAGAGATAAGCAAGTTCGATTACGCTCAACACAGAACCACCGAGACAGAGACCGAAGATACCACCGAAGGATGCTGTAATAATTCGCGCGATTTCGTTACATTCTACTGAGTAAAATTAATTCAAACGAGATCAAAGACAAAGGAATTCTCCATCACCAGCTATTCGAGATATTGGGATCTAACCTACCGATGAGTGAATCCCAGCTGATGATGTTTTCCTTGCGGTACTCGACGTACGACGCGTCGCCGAAAAATATGTATACGAAAGACACATTATTTTTATCGAAGCCATGCCTAAAAATATAAAAAGTATAAAAAGCAAGTATAAGAAAAAAGTATAAGAATGTAATCTCTTTACACTTCAATAAAATACTACTATTATTATTAAAAATTTGTGAAAATACTATGAATAATTGCATATCTCGAAGAAAAAGCTAACGTTCTTTTCGTTAAAGACAATGATGTAGACTCACATTAGATCAGAATCATATCCCACGTCCTGCATTTTAATACTTTCTGGATTGATAGTGTAAAACATATCTGAGCACTCAGGCAGACACTTTTTGTTGCAATGACTTATTTTTCCGTAAGTTGGTGTCGACTCTGAATTTTGAAAAACAACATTGTATATCTACAATTCTGTATAATCAGATATACGAAATAACTAATTATATTATATGTATAATATATGTGAAGCCATTTTCTTACTTTGGATACTCAAAAGGCAATTTGTGTCAGGCAAGTAACATGTCCTCATGCGCATCTCCTTATCTGCCAGCCCATTGAAGATGATAACATAATGTAATTATCATATTAATTGTATTCTTCTTATATTATTATATCGCGTATTAACCTTCCATCTGTCTTCAAGATCTTTTTGTTTAGTCTAAATATTTATTCTCTGTTGTAGACTTTCAAAAAAGTGTAGAAAAATTCAGAGTTAGTTTTCAACATATCTGTTATAGATGCCACTGCTAATAAAATATTTTAGAAAGGAGAGACAGAGAGAGAGAGAGAGAGAGAGAGAGAGCGAGAGAGCGAGAGAGAGGAACCAAATTTCATCTTTCTTTATTTCGGAAAAATTTTAAAGTGGTATTTCACTTGTACCAAAAAAGATCCAGATTGCAGATGAGGGTTTATTTATAATATTATCGATTGTCGTATTAACGCATTTCCAAAATGTCCATCTACCAGATATGGAATTATAACATTGATAAATTTGAAACTGAAGAATACAGCACCTATATGTTGCTTCAAGAATTAAACCCACTCTATTAAATAATTTTATGTATTTTTTTGTGTACACTTACGCGTCTTCGGATAGTAAAATGGCAGGCAGCCGCACATATGATGTATGTGCTTGGCTTTGCACTCTGATATGCACGATTCATAGCTATAGCGAATCTTGCCTGGTATCTGCAGGTATATTCATTATAATTACGTGAAATATGGAAGGCGACAGTTTACAGAAGTTAACGCGTTAAATAACGCTTGATCCAAGCCGAAAAGTATACATAATTTTACCTCGTTGTGGAAGTAACATATACGTTTCTCCTGAGGTAAGGCTCTCAAACTTTCCATACCTCTAACAAACGTCCCGGTAATGGATATCTCCAGGATGTGACCAATCGGCACGGCCACCATGTGTGCACCAATGTCGGGAAAATCAATTGCATCGTGTATTAGAACGGAAGCTCCTACGTAAGGACGCGAAGTAGCTTTGTACATATCAGGCTCGATGTTTAAAGCTACCGCGAGTCCCACGTCTTGGCCGCTCCCGGGCGCGTTCTGCAAGAGAAGAGTTTATTGTGTGCAATCGCGACGTAGTTGAAATTAGAAGTCTTATAACAGAGTTTGACTAGGAGCGAGTTTATCAAAATCCTACGAGAGAGAAAGATATATATATATATATATATATATATATTGGGCTCAAATTGTAAGTACACGTGTTTACTTTTATTTAGTACTTTGGCCTTTTTAGAAATTCAATATAGTGAGCCTAACATGACGGCTTCATATGCTCTGCTGAAATACAAAATACAAAATACACTTATATTGCAAATACTGTGTTTTAAATAAAACTATTTTAAATATAAATGCCCACTCCTGCTCCTGGTTGCTCCTAGATTCTGTTATAGAATCTCTAATCAACGCGAGGATATTGAGTATTACCAAAACTGTGTGCACACCCGGCAAATCATCAGAAGTGTTGTCGAAATCGTTGGTATTAAAGTCATTGAATCTACGGAATAATAACGAAAGCGTAAAATACATATCTAAATGTCGGATACATATATCGGGCTATTGCTGAAAGTTTGTCAATTTTTCTACTAAGTTTTTGTGCTTCTATTTTTGTATCAAATAAAATCAAAGAATCAAATTATTGCAATTAATTGAAATACAAAAATTATTCAAAATATACAGGACAAATATGAGTTAATTAGGCGCAATATAGAAATAAAAATAATATTTAGATAATGTATAATAAAATTAAGAAAATGTTAATTTTAGAGAGGGCTACTTTTTCCTATAAATTGATTGCCTACTGCATCATTTGCCTACATTTCATTTGTCTACAGATCGATTGCCTACATGTATTATTACCTATCGATCAATTAACTACATGTATTAATGCTTACAACTCGACTGCCTACAAGCACTTTTGCGTACAAATATAAAATTAAAATTAAATTATATAAGAAAGTAATTTTTGTTTTTAAAGAGAAGAATTTGTATTTTAAAACAGAGAAATTTGTGTTTTTAAAGCAGAGAATAGTGCTTGTAGGCAATCGAACTGTAGGCAATAATATATAAGTAAATGTGACTTCATTTCTGAAATTATTATATTTTTATACGTAAAAGCGTATGTTGGCAATCGAGTTATAAGCAATACTACATATAGTAATTGATCTAAAAACAAATGAGATGTAGGTAAAGGGGGTTCTCTCTTTATTTTATTATAATTATCTAAATATACATTATTATTATTTCTAATATTGCACTTAATTAACTGAGCTTGACTTTCATTTGCTTTGTACACTTTGAATCGTCAAACAACCAAAGGTTTTTAAAAATTAAAGCAGAGAGCTTCTTAGCTTCTAGATGAAGCAGAGGCGATAGCGATTATGTTGAAATTTCATCTGTAACTTTATCCGACAAATATGACGAATTTTTGTACCAACTTGGCATCCCATACAGCAGGCCTATCTAATTTGAGTTCTGGAGCCAAAACGCAAAGCCATCGACGCAAAAAAATTCATGTAGGTAAGATTTCGGGGACTGTAAAGTGTTGATATACGCATCTAATTGTAAGTGATGTGTGTGCTTATCAATACCTTATAGTTCCTAAAACTCACATTGGTTTTTTTTACGTCAATGGCTTTGCGTTTTGGTTTTGGAACTGAAATTGGACAGGCCTGCCATACAGCAAAGCAATGTTTCAGCAACATTGCAAATGTTGTAGCAATGTTGCTTTGTATATACACAATGTATAGAATAATATAGTGTCAAAGAAGCGACATGTATTTCCGAGAATTTTCTCGCGACAATTACATGTGTCCAACGTTATTGTAATGGTAATTGAAAGCGCAACAGAAACCCTCCTTAGATTTGACAGTCTTGAAGATCTTGCTGCAATCGTAAACCTTGTCGATCCAAACGCATCTCAACAGTAACGCGCTGCAAGGCTGCATCAACTGCGAGAGATACCGTTAATTATTAACTCGAATCTTTTTTCGCTATTCGAACGGATCTTATGATTAATCTCCTTGGAGATCCAAATTAATCATTAAAACATTTTTGTTCACCTGTTCCATGAGCGTTTCGACCGTCATGTCGAGTCTATCGAGAAATTGCCTCGCAATCGTATTGTCCATCGAGATTTTGTGGGGTCGTATCAATTTCACCAGGGATGAAAAAAATTTATCGCTGTCGTTCGTGGTGAACCCATCTATGTATCTGTTCGCGTAAAATTGGGACATAATATCGGATATGAAAATTTAACTCCGTCGATCCAAAATTAATTAAACTAATTTTCGCACATGAATTGTCACATTAGGTAGAAATAGAAAATTTATCACATCAAATAGTTTTTATTTAATATAGTTTTTATGAAGAAAATTGAAGGAAAGATTAGCAAAACCGAATCAAAACTATCGAGTTTAGAATAAATTTTTTTTTAGGTAGAAAATTTTTAATTTTATTTTTTTTCAAAGGCTTCGATTTTCTAATTTTATTTATTAATATAAGGATTCAAGGAAAATGATGAACCCTTCGCAACTGAATGTATTATAATATACATCTTATTATAATATCTTACAAATTTTCGGCCATAAGGTCGGCATGTGGACGATAAACCTTATTATTATTACATATGGTGACAGCTGGAAAAGACACGTTCCATATCGGATTTGACGTGTAAATAGTCGTAACTATGGGGTTGTTCGAGTAATTGGCCCACAAGCGTAACATCAATATAACGCAGAACACGATGGACAATATACAAACCTGTCGAATATAAGAGTAAATTACCTTTCCTGGACAATATTACTGAGCTCACTCTTGCACTCTTGAGATGATTATAGAATCCTTACCATGAACCAGAGAACACTCTCGATTATCGACGATCCATCTATACTTATGTAACGAAAACCATGCAGACTCGTATTCTTACAATAGATATTAAACCAGCCTAAGTGTTTTTTTATCCGCACGTGTGCCAGACATTTGCGATATCCTATTACGACATGTAGAATATCGATTTGTTCGGCGAAGTAATAATTACTAAATCGGTATTCGGGAGCGTGTAGGGGATCAATAAACTAAAAAAAAACCCTGTAGAGATATGCTCGTTTTTGCTTCATTTTGGAGAAAATTGTAAAAAAGACAAAACGTAGTTGCTTCATTCTTGCACTGCCTCTAAAATATTATCGTTGCTAAAATCATACACGAAAATAATAATAATAATAAATCCGTTTTTAGGCGAAAATTTTTTTTGTTTGTTTTTGTCTAGTGAGACCATTTTTTTTATCCGATAGATTAAATGCAGCCAGATATATAGATTTTTTGGAGACTGACTTTTTTGATTATTTAGAAGACATCCACCTGCAATAACAGATTGAGATGTAGTTTCAACTCGATGGGTGTCTAGCTCATTATGGCAGAACTACTCGAGCTAGACAGACTTGGCTAGACAGACATTTTCCACAACGATGGATTGGACGTGGAGGAATAGTATCTTGGCCATTTCGATCACCTGATCTGACACTACTGGATTTCTTCGTGTATGTGGGAGGGAAGGGGTCCTGAAGCAGGAAGTTTATTCGTCGTCAATCAACTCAAGAGAACAATTGAGAAATCGAATCGAGGCTGCAGTGCACCAAATATCGCCAGATCAGTATTTAGCTGCAACACGAGCTGTCCGTACTGATGCAACGCTTGCATTGCTGCAAGAGGCCAAGATTTTGAACAATATCTACATTAAGCAAGTGAATAAATACAACGTGAATAAGTAATGAGAAAGTACAAAAATGAAAACTACATTTTGTTTCTTTTTTTGCGATTTTCTCCAAAACGAAGCAAAAACGAGCATATCTCTACAGGACTTTTTTTCTTAGTTCATATTTTTATCCCCTACACGTTCCCGAAGTTTTGACATTTAAATTCTAGATACCCTGTATATATTAATGAATTAAAATAATGTTAGTGTCTCACCACGCTTTACACTGTCAATTCTGGATTTCTTATTCCAATGTGGCGTCATGTTTTTTGGAGCTAAGTTAATGCTTATGGAAAACAAACTACCGTTTGTCAAGAGAACTACTGAATGACTGCATATATTGCCGGACTCGTACTGCAATTTCTTTGGCCAGCGGCTAATTTCATTTCCGACTCGCTGCATGTCATTTAATTTTCTATCATTATCTCTAAGTAAATTCAGTGAAATGATATTAAAGTCCCAGTAATGTTCACCTGAATGTCCACTCTATTTTGATTATTTGCTCGCGAAGGTCGCGAATTTTACATGGAATATTCTAGTATCACACATAAAACTATATAATTTAAGATTTATTACATTGGACTAGTTTTCTGATGAGTAAATGAAAAGAATCGCTTTTAAAATGTGACAAATTCATCGTACATTCAGATCAAAATATTGGTATCTATATAAGTCTAAAGCATTTTATGCACTATCATAATTCTAATTACTCGGCTAATTTCTTTACTAAGTAATTGAAACATGTACAGCTATCACTCATTTTAAGAGTGACATATTTCATACATTTGGATCTAGATATATCTATAAAAGTTTGAGACGGAAAGTATTTTACATTTTTATTGCAATTTAACAAGAGTTACTTTTGTTTACAAAGGACTTTTATAATTTTTTAAATATTTTATTTATAGGAATTATTATTAATATTTGTCATGCTGGTATTAAATCACAATGGGTAATATTAAAAACAATAGGTCGATTTAATTTAACCGATTTGACGGTTAATTTGATAAAAATAACAGCGTTTCTCTTTGTACTAACTTTTATTTGACAAATAAAAAGTATCCGTTACAAATAATTGTAAACTGTTTATCTTATACAGTACACGTAATCGTGATACGTACGAGTGTATAGCGCTCTTTCTCTCTCTCTCTTTCTCGCTCTCGCTCGCTCGCTCGCTCGCTCTCTCTCTCTCTCTCTCTCCCATGTTTGTGATCATACACGTTATCTCTTTCAACCTTCTCGCGATACCAAAGCCCAGTTGCAACAAACCGGTTTATATATCTGGCGTCGATATTTTCCCCATGCACACACACACTCGGACACACGCGTCTATACATACATCCTCACATACTGTCATTCATCCACGCGTGCTTATGTGCCTCGTCGTAGTGAAATGGATTACAATTAACAAGTGTATGTATTTACGTGTGTGTTTATGTGTTAGACGAAAAATGCATAACACGCGGACGAAGCTACGCGCGGTTATAGTTTTGATTCATTTCACGTAGTTTGTTTTATTTGCGGTCTCATTCGCACTCCTGTTTGAAACGAGAGAAACCACGATTCCCTCTGCTTCTGAGGACCTCGGGCCGTGATAATTCCGTGGCACTATTCACAGATCGACAATTATGATATATTTTCCTTGACATTGAAATAATATTATTATTTAATAATGTTACTTGATAATATTACCTAATCTCTAACGCCAAGAAATAATCGAAAAAATAAACGTACAAAACACATATCTAATGTAACAACATGCAAAGAATATTTTCTCTCGGTGATGCGCACTCGAATTTGAACAATGATGTAGGAACACAATGATACCGAAAAGTAATTAACAAATGGAAGAAAAACAACAAAATTAGGAAATCTCGTCACGAGCAATTGCGCTCGTCCCTCTGTGAACAGTCGACCGGAATTTTGTTGTGAAAATAATGGGAGATCTCTAAATCTGTAAAGTCCATTGCGTATGCGAATTTACATATGGATCGTGATTTCACTTGACATTTCATGTCGAGCGTGTCATTGCTCAAGCTCTTTGTATACCTATGCAAATCCACGCGCGATGATCCCGAAAGTGTAACAGACTGCGAACGCGTCACCTACTGCCTACTGGTCGATACAACTCTGCATTAATGGACATTGTCCACGGTCAAGATGCTTAAAAATGCCCTTTGTAGGCACCCTGATAGGGGTGACGTTTACTGACCAGACTAAAATGTACTTTCAGGGGCTGGAGGAGAGAGAGAGGAAAGGGTATTACGAGTTAATTCGGGGCTGACCATCGGTACACGGGAAAATTGGAAACGGCGATTAGAATGTTATTATTATGCTGATCACATATTTGATCGTTTTTATCGTCTTATCCGTCAAAAAGGTTGTACTAGCTTAATATAGCCCGGCATACATTATAATAATTCAACCCTCTAATGAGTGCGGGTTCAAGGGTGACATCACTTAATCATGTTGGGACACACTCGCTCGAATATTAAAATCGATTATCCAGGGCGAAGCTTTCGTAATTACGATCGCACAAATGGCTGTGATGGCTAAATAATGCTTTTTTTAGTACAATCGTTTTTAATTGCACTTGGAAAATTACCAACACGGCCTCTATTTGCCAAAAGGTACTCCCGTTCAAGTAGTCACGTTTCAAGGTAGTGCTATATAAGAGGTATTTATTTACAGAGATCATGTAATCTCTCCGGCTGTTATCTTCGAGATATTCGCGATCGCATTTTCGTATCTGGATTATAGCGTAAAAATTTTGCACATCGAGGATAATTGTAACGAACTATCTACTGAAATATACATGTAGCAGTGGCAATAGCGTTATAGCATTTCGGACCAATCCTGATTTATTTGAATTCGTGTCTCGCAAATTTCTCTTTTGTACAATATAATACAAAAAGAAACAAACTAGCAAATGGAAAAAAAGAACTGAAAAATATGCTCATCAAAAAACATATAGGGCCAAGATACGATATTACTATTATGACAGACTTTGTAATAGATTCAGTGTTTTGTCCATATCATTTTCTAAATCAAAACATTCGGTAACCGTTCGCTCTTCGCCGATGGTGCCCCCTTAACCATATGTCTCTTCATTAAGCCTAAATATTTCTACCCATTGTAACACTAAGAACGTTTACGCGTTCGCTGAAGGGGATAAAGGTATGATTAATACAGATTTAGGGATATAATATGAACGCAAAAATACTCTTATCAATAATCATAAAGTAATAATTAATATTAACTACAATAATAATGCAACAGCAGAAACGCATACCTGTCGGTGTATGCAGCAATTAAGGAAGGGAAAGGAACGTTAGTGGATCTTATGTACAGTTTCTTTTTGCGAATACACTTGTCAGTTCTTTTCCTGTGAATACGTTTGCCTAGTAAAATCTATTTTTCTCTCTCTCTCGCTCGACCTCTCCGTTCCTTCGACACTGTTGCCCTCGCATTCACTCTATGCGCATTTATTCTTACTTCCATAGGATTAGAATTTGTAAAGAATTTATCAAAAAAGCTGGAAAGAAACGTAATGGGAAAAGTGTGCGTTGTCAGATCTCGATGTTCAGGAGAGTCGCGACTAACGGTTTCAAATTGGCTGTCTCGCGCCAGCGTCTCGATTGTTCGTTGGCACAATCTATATAATTTGAAATTAAAATATGTTTTTTTCTGTCGGGCGAAAGAGACAAGATTTAATGATAACGGAAAAAAAAAAGAAGATACACGATAGTTCCCAGCAAAATAGCGCGCGATTTACGGTAGAAAAAAAGGATTATTCTTTGGATTTCCTTTAAAGGATAAATACGTTTTCTTGGGAATGCTAACATCGGGGAACATGGTGCGGTTGCTCGCCAGTTTGAAACCCCCCGCTGTCACATCGACAGTACGTGTGGCTTCGCCGACACGATACAAATAAGAGAATTCTATACTAAAGAAAGGCCGACATCGAAAACGTTAACGTACTCGATTCGTGAATCGATTTACTCTGCAGGCTGCATTGGGCGACTACCATCCTTGAAAAGGATTGCCATGTTAAGGTCACGTTAGCATCGACCACAAGCGTTTATCTTCCTGGGAGAGGGTGATTCGCGTGTGGCATGTGTCATCTCTGTGTGTGTGTATGTATGTGTGTGTTTGTGTTTATGTGTGGTAAATTCTACAGATTATTCTCCTGTGCGCAGCATTCTGCCGGAAGTATCCCAGTTTCTTGCACGCGTTTCTGCAGGTGCATGTCAAATGTACTTGTTTCAGGTTCCACTTTCAGCGTTTGTATGTGTTTGCCCAAGAAATATTTCTAAAAAAAAGTTACAAAAGCGCATCTTTGGCTCCCCTCTTCCCTGAATGCATCCCTCACCACGTCTTAGTAATGATCTGCATTCTCGTGCACGCTGGAACAGAAAAAATTAACGGAGTTTTCAGTCAAAAACATAATGGTTAAAATTGAAGAAAATAGATAATATAATTAAAACGAGATAATGACAAATTTTCTTATATTAAGTCTTAAAATTTTTCTCTTTTCATTATGAACTATTTTCTAAAAATGATTTACGAGGTACTAAGCGCAGAATGACAAAAATGCAAGCATCTTATATTGCGTAAATAAGATTTAAATCGTCGATATAAAAAGCCTTAATTTATATATGATATCTGAGCGACGCAATAAACATACTCGGAATAAATCGCAATGACAACAGCGCACGAAGCCTTAATTGTATTAGTATGCACCACGAATGGAGTTCGGATTACATGAGTTATCAGAGATCCAAGATAACTTGAATATGAACAAATACTACAGCTCTAGCTGCAATTATTTGATGATTATAGACACATTATTGAAGAAAATGTTATTGTTTATTCGTGCGAAATTACGGCGCGTCGATGAGCAAACAGGGCGCAGCGGGAATGGTGTTAGTTCCGAAAGCAGGTCTCAGGCAGAGGCGAAGTTCTTGAACACCTTTGTAGGATGATTAGTGATTCCTTGTTACATCGAAAGTAGAACAACAAAATCACTAGTCTTCCATACAACGGTGCTCCATTTTCCCTCACGCTGGGCTAGAGATTCCTCCAGCGCGTCGTTCTCCTTCCATCCGTTCTCTTTCCGTTCTTACTCCTTCACCTTTGCGAATGTTACAGTTACCTCGATCGTTTGGTTAGTCGGATTGTGTTAGTTCCTAAAGATGATGAACTGACTCGATGCGATGGCGGCGATATCGGTTATAAAGCGGATGAAGTATGAGAAATTATTATCGCGCGTGACAATGACGAAGAAATATACTCCAATATATATTAAACATAGCAACGTATAAAATCGAAGAGTCTGAATATATCATTCACAAAATGTTAACACACTATCGACTTTATAATACACTAATACACTCACAAGCGTATTTATGAAATTACTTGTACCTTTTAATTTTCAAGATAACACATATTACTTATATAGAGTATAATTCTTTCCTTTCTTCGATTTTACTTTAACAATTATCTTTTTATATCGTCAAGATGTTTACGCGAAGCTTCGCAAAATCATAACAAAGTGGCGGTGCATGAAATGATAACAATATATATCTTACAATGTCATACAAGCATTATATCGCACAATTTTTATCATGTAATTACAAAAATTGTACATGCTTAAACATCAAGATATTATAGAATATATATATATATATATATATATATATATATAATATTTACAATGTTAACATGAAATAAGAAGCAGATTTTTACATTTAATGTAAGTATATGATATATGTCAATATAACAATTACCTCTGCTGCAGCAGGTACTGGGCCATTTGTATCTGACTGGGGATCCCAGTGATGGTAATGATGCGGTCGTTACTACCAGGCAGTGGCTCGTCTATAGTTATTCCGGCACCACTGTCGGATCTGATTTTTCTGATCCTCGCACCACCTTTACCAATTATGGCTCCAGCCAACTGCAAACAAAGATAAGATTCTATATATAATCAGGCATATTTTCAACATATAGACTAAAATCGAAGATACTTCAATCAAACAAAATAATCATTATTAAACATGACAGACATTTACAAATTATTCTCAATCTTTAGCCACTTAATAGAAGCACAATAACTGTTCGATGTATTTCTGTGGTGTGCATTTTTTTATAGTTTACACAGATATACGCGAGACTTACAATTTAATATGGCTGACAAGATAATCTCGGTAATTCATTATTCCTTTCAGAAGTAACTTCCGAGAAGCAACGATCGAATAAGATCCAATGTTCCTAATCGGAATTTAACTCGGATCTTCGGTATAAAGAGCAAATACGCAATTTTCTGCTACGATTACCACAATAAATTAATACAACGAATATTTATGTTTTCCTAGAAAATAAAACAAACAAAGTAAACTTATAGTCAACTTACGTCTTTAGGAATGGTGACTTGTGTACTGGTCTTGTTTCCACTCATGTTGCCCTGGTTGCCTTGGCTGTTTCCACCCATAGGGCCACCCATTCCCGTGTTACCACCGCCACCCAAACCATTGGGCGCGCCTCCTTGCATCCCCCATCCATCACCTGTGACAAAAGAAACATTAACGGCTTGTATTTCACGGATATACACAAATCCCCAAACATTTTAGCGATGTGCGGCGATTTAATGGAATGCTCGTATCTTTCTCATCAGTATCCTAATCTTTGTCGCAGAACTTTAATATCTTTATTGCGATCAAAGATGTTCGGGTCTTCCGATTGAAAGATAGATGTTCCTTTGATCATAGCTTAAGTGGATCATCAAGATTCCTTCTTACCGTTGTAATTTCCGCCGCCAT